TGGAGCAATACTGCTGGGAGGCGCCCGACGGCGGACCGGGCACCGGCAGCGGCACCGGGACGGGCGGGGGGCTGCCGCCGGCCGCCAGCTACCTGCCGGCCGAGCTGTTCCTGCTGCTGCAGTCGGCGGTGCTGGCGTGCCAGGAGAAGGACGCGGAGGCGCTGAAGGCGCTGCAGGCCGAGCTGTGGCCGCTGCTGAGCGCCGAGCAGAACCATCTGCTCCACCTCGTGCTGCAGGAGATGCTGAGCCCCGCCGGCCAGGGGCTCTGAGCGCCGCCGCCCGCGGGGACAGGTCGGACCGGTCGCTTCAGTCGGTTCCAGCACAGACTCTATTCCGTTATTTATTTTTAATACGAGTTCTGTAACTCAGTGAAGTAATGGTTGATGAGAGAACGCGTTCATCTACACGTTTGCCTTGTGTCGTAGTAAACTGCTCACTGTATGAACTGAAAGTTGTCATGCTTGGCAAAAGTGTAGCCCTAAAGCAGGCTATTTTAGGGCAGAAGGAAGCTGTTCATTAAAAGACTGGCTGCAATTTGCATGTGTTGCAGAATTTGTATCTAGGAATCAAATGTCGTTAGAGTTGCTTTTTAAAAAACAAACAAAACCCATATAAAATAATATTTTCATTTTTCCTCCTCTTGAAAACAACCGGCACTGCAGCCAACACAAGGCCCTGAGTTTTGTGGTGGCTGAAGGGAGTTGGTCGCTGACCTGCAGGTGGTTCCTGGGGTGATGGTGGCCTGACTCCAGTCTCTGTAGCAGCTGTTAACCCAGAGAACTGAGCCTGCACCGTGGCAAATCCACTTCAGCTGAGGGAATTTGGGAGCAGAATTAATGGTGGAGGTGGTGAAGTTACAGGAGTTATTGCAATGTGGACTGTTTGCTTAGTTCTGTGTGTCTGCTCTCAGGCACTTCTGTCTCTTGCTTTCTGCTTCTTTTGACCCTTAGGTGAAGGCAGCTGGTCTTCAGAGGAGAAAAGGTTCTTCTGTCTTTGGTGCACTCAGCTGTTGGGTACAGGCCTTGCTCAACTCCAGCAGTGCTAATACACAACCTCAAGCAGGGCAGGCTTTATCCTGGAAGCTGGAGATGCCTGGGGTGTGCATGTTGGGTGGATAAAGAGCAGTTCTAGGCTACCCAGCTACTGGGCAGTGAAACAAGCGCTGCCAGCCAGCACTTCCAGAGACCCTGCAGAGGCTGAGGCTTTCAAAAAGACAGCAATCCCGTTTGTACACCTGGGAGAGGAGCCAGAGGTAAGAGGTAATTCTGTTAAACAGAATATAACATCTGATTTTAACATTTGGGTCTGGAGACTGCAGTTTTTTCAAACGCTTTTTCAGTGTTTTTCACCTCCCACACTTAAATAATGAAGAACTTGCCGTTTTCCCCTCTGAAACGCAAACAGAGAAGCCGCTCATTTTAAGAGGCCTTAATTACCACAAGCCTCTTTTTGACAAGGTAAAATTGTAGTTGAGAAAGGCTCGGATCCGAGCTGGATGTTATTTTATGACTTAAGTCAGCCGCGGATGCGCCAGGCCGGGAGGCAAAACTAAAAACCCGAGACTGCTTACGGCCGCGTCCTTTTTAAACTCCGGCGGCTGCGGCAGCGCGGGAGGGGCGGGGCGGGGCGGTGCGGGGG